GATGGCTAACCTCTTGCCAGAGTCATGAGGATTTATAGGAGTATGGGAAGGGGATTGCTGTAATCATGCAATCTGGTTTCTGGCCTGCTTTCTTTCACTACCTATCTCCCAAATAGCTGTACTTTTGTCAGGGCCCTGAGGATTTCTTCCCCACCCAAACTGTGACCCAATCGCTGCAAGTCCATTTGCTCAAGGGCTTCTTGGGCATGGCTCTGGGCCTTGGTCCTCAAACATGGCTCAAAATAGCCCTCTTTAAATTATTTTACAGAGTTTGGATTATTTTTCGATGACAATTTGTAATATTACATCATCCACTGGTGTGATTATGTGATTAATATCTATCTTCTCCAAGTAAGCTCCAGGAAGGCAGAGACCATGTATTTTATTCATTGATGCGTATGGCTGACACGGAGGTCTGTCCTTGGATTTGAGACATTTATAAAGTGGAAACTTTTTAAAAGAAACCTTATTCAAATTAATATGAGGGTACAATATTTAAATTGCATTGTTCTCACTTCTAGGGCAAAGTTCCAGTTGTAGAAGAGCCCCTCACCCAAAGGGCATTTTATACACCCTCGAAATGTGCACATTAGGTGAGATCCCACCTCGTGCCCTCCTCCCTCTGCCATATGTCCTCCCCTCTCTGCCCTCCTACTTCCCTCTACCCCTGAACTGGACTATAATAGTGTTTTATTGTTCTTAAGAACATATAATTGTTTATATATTGATTTCATACTAATATGGAGTACATTGGATATTCATCTGTCCATTCCTGTAATACTTTACTAAGAAGAATGTATTTCAACTCCATCCAAGTAAATGTAAAAGATGTAAAGTATCCATCTTTTTTAATGGCTGCATAATATTCCATGGTATACATATACCACAGTTTGTTGATCCAATCATGGGTTGATGGACACTTAGGTTGCTTCCATGACTTGGCTATTACGAATTGAGCACAAAATAGAAACGTTCTTATGGCTTCTTTGGTGAATTTGGATTTCTTTTTATTTTTCACTGCAACCTGAGTCCTGAGGTAATGGGCAGAGAAGACTTAGAGACTTACTGCCTGTTTATCTTTTTATCACCTTTTTGTGACAGAGGCTAAAATTTGAGCCCCTGACAGTACTAATAGGCTGGAGGAACAGGAACTTCACTGTGATCAAAGTGGGAAGAGGCCCTGCGTGGGCAATACTGTTGGGGTAAAAGTGGAGTTTTACAAATAATAGGATGGGCACTTACACAGAACGAAAAACGCAGAGTTGCAAATCCTGCCCTAGGGAGCTCTAAAGGGGAACTGTGTAGAGTGCATGGTGGGGGTGGGGAGAGGTTCAGAGGAGGTGGCCCTGGTGGCTTTATAATTTGCTGCTTAGCTTCTGCTTTCAGCATCTGCTGTGACCAGATGGTGTGCAGCTATCTCTCTGGCCAGTTGAGCCAAGAAAGAAATAAAACTCCTGTCTTTGTAAAAACCATGCTTGGTAGGGAAAAAATTGTCCTGTAGCAAGTAGCAATTTCTCTCTTTCTCTGTCCCTCTCAGAGGGAAATCTTATCTCTGATTTCTAAATGGATTATATTGACATCCTGCTCAGATGTTAACTGAAGGTTTTCCCTTAATTCCTCCCACCTTTTGTCAAATCTAGCCATCCTGAAAGGTTTTCCTAACAAATACCTGTAGCTGACCGTCGTATCCTCAGTGAGTCTCCAATTTAAAGAATAATACAATTTTAAAAGGGAAGATCTTTCATGAATTTCTTTTTCCCATGTTTGAAAACATTTTTGTTTTCAGAATAAGGACCTCTGAAAGGAAACATTTATATGATAATTATATTATTTGAATAATATAAATTATTATAAAGGTATAAATGTTACATGTGTTCTTATGTTTATAGCCTATTCCTGGCTACAAAGTCTAACAATTCAGTTTGCAAACTCATCCTAGAAAGAGTGCTTCAACCTCACTGTTGAATATCACTATGGTCACCTTCGAAGTACCACCCTTGGGAAGCTATGCACCAATCTCAGCACCTAGTCCACTCTTCAAAGCAATGTTGGAACTTTTTCTGGAATGACCATCAGAACTGTTGTCATACAGCACACAAAAAACACCCAACAATAATGAATACCAATCAGCAAAACACTACCACACGTTGGCACAAATGTCATATACTGTGGTATATCGGCTGTGAGACACTGATATACCGAGATTAGGACACCTTACTGACTTGTTTGTACAGTGTAAGCACTAGGTGGCAGTTTGCAAACTTTATTGCCAAACCCTGTACAACACCAGCTCTGTTGGTTATTTCAGTAAAGGAGTTCCAAAATTGCTTTGAAGGGTGGCCTAGTAGCTGGCATCAGTGCACAGCTTCCCAAAGGTAGTACTTCAAAGGTGACCATACCTATACTCAGCAATGAGGTATGTAGCACATTCTCTAGGATGAGTTTGTGAATCAGACCTTGTATATCAAATCACATATATTTATAAACTAAATACCAACAAAGCTGCAAAAGTGAACAAAATAAAAGTTAACATCATTAATTTAATGTGGCAGTGTGTATTTGATATTCAAATAAAATAAAATTACCAGGAACCTAAATATTGCAAGTACAGGGGAGGTTTTTACATTGGGCATTCTGCACTGCCATTGGCTGAGCTATGACTCAAGTTCTGTTTTCCTTTTGTTTTCTTCATTCCACTGTGGTATCATTTGCCTGTCACTTGGCATTAATGCATTAATCATCCACACAAACGCCTGTATGTGAATGTTCATAGCAGCATTATGAACCACAGATAAAAAATGGAAATCCAAATATCTATTAACAGATGAATAAAAAAAATGTACTACATTTATGGAATGAAATAGTATTCATCCATGGAAAAGAATGAAGTCTTGATATCTGCTACAACATGGGAAGATATTAAAGCATTATGCTAAGTAAAAGACCATATGCCACAGTAGACCATATAATGTATTATTCCATTTACAGTGTACACGAAATGTCTATGATTAGACAAATCCATAGAAAAAGAAAGTAGACTACCAGTTATCAGGATTTAGGAAGAGGGTGAGAAAGAGAAAGTGACTGCTAAGGGGTATGGTATTTTTTTTTTTTTTTTGAGATAGTGCCTCAAGCTATCGTCCTGGGTGAAGTTGGCATCACAGCTCACAGCAACCTCCAACTCCTGGGCTCAAGCGAGTCTCCTGCCTCCACCTCCCAAGTAGCGAGGACTACAGGCACCTGCCACAAGGCACGGCTATTTTTTATTTGAAGCCATCATTGTGTTTGGCGGCCCGGGCTGGATTCAAACCCACCAGCTTGGGTTCGAATGGCTGGCGCCTTAGCCGCTTGAGCCATGCTGGTTTTTTGTTTTTTGCCCTGAGCAGAGTGCAATGGCGTTATAGCTCACTGCAACCTCAGACTCGGTCAGGCGGTGGGCATCCCGATGGCCACTGGGATTACAGGCGCTTGTTGCAGCGCCCTGCTGGGTTTTTTTTTTTCAGGAGTTGGGGGTCTCACTTTCGCTCAGGCAAGTCTCAAACTCCTGAGCTCAAGCAATTCTCCCTCCTCAGCCTCCCACAGTGCTGGGATTACAGGCATGAGCCACTGCACCTGGTGGGTATGAAAATGTTCTAGAATTAGTGGTGATGGTTGCACCACTCTGTGAAACATATATGAAAAAAACACTAGAATGTACATTTAATTTTATATATATGTATATATATATAAAATATGTTTTTTGAGACAGAGTCTCTTTTGTCATCCTCAGTAGAGTACCATGGGATCATAGCTCACAGCAACCTCAAACTATTGGGCTCAAGCGATGTTCTTACCTCAGCCACCCAAGTAGCTGGGACTACAGGCGCCGAATTTTTAGAGATGACGTTTGGCTCTGGTTGGAACCTGTGAGCTCAGGCAATCCACTACCTTGGCCTTCTAGAGTGCTAGGATTACCGAGCCCTATTTATGTATTTTTTGAGACAGAGTCTCACCCTGTCACCCTGGGTAGAGTGCAGTGGTGTCATTATACCTCATGGCAACCTCACATCCTTGGCTTCAAGTGATCCTCTTGTCTCAGCTTCCTGAGTAGCTAGGACCTACAGGTACTTGCCACAAGGCCTGTTAGTTTTTCTATTTTTAGTAGAGACAGGTCTTGCTTTTGCTCAGGCTGGTCTCTAACTTGTGAGCTCAGGTGATTCACCTGCCTCAGCCTCTCAGAATGCTAGAATTACAGGCATGACCCACCACATCCGGCCAACTGTACATTTTATAAGGGTAATTTTATGCCATGTGAATATATCTCAATTAAAAGCTAAATTTAAAAAATGTTTGTGAGACTTGGTCTCTAAAAATAACCGGGCGTTGTGGTGGATTCCTGTAGTCCTAGCTACTCTGGGGGCTGAGGCAAGAGAATCAATTGAGCCCAAGAGTGAGATTGCTGTGAGCTATGATGCCATGGTGACAAAGTGAGACTCTGTCTCCCAATAAAAGAAATAATAAAAAATGTTTGTAATGAATGGCTTGTAGTTAGGAAAAAACATTTTTTTACAACAAAGTCTCATTCTGTCGCTCAGGCTAGAGTGTAGTGGCATCATGATAGGTACTGCAACCTCCAACTCCTGGGCTCTCTCAGCCTCCCAAGTAGTTGGGACTACTGGTGCACCCCACCATTCACTGCTAATTTTTTATTTTTAGTAGAGCCCAGGTCTTGTCCTGGCTCAGGCTGGTCTCAAACTCCTGAACTTAAGGGATCCTGCCCCCTTAGACTCTCAGAGTGCTAGGATTACAGGCGTGAGCCACCGCGCCTAGCCTTAAATTAAATTTTTTAAAAAATTGCAAGGGTGGACAGTATCATACAGGCTCCTCCTCCACCCAGGGAGCAGGAATGAAACTCAGCAACACCAAGCAACCCCCACCACAGAGCCAGTCGCTCTCCTCCACCCTCCACCACTGCGGGCCCTGCCACGCCTCTGGGAGAACGGTGATTGGCTGAGTTCCGGGAGGGGGCAGAGCTAAAAGGAATGCGTCAAGCCCCTCTGAGCTAGGCGGGGCGAAACCTTAGCTCGCGAGATTTGGCTGGTTCCGCATTTCGGCTCTGCGAGGTGGGGGAGGCGGGCACAGCGGGCTCAGCGGTGTGTACGGCCTGGTGGCGTCTAGATACCGGCTCGGAACAGCGGCGGTCGAGCTTCCGCTGTCAGCGAGCTGAGGACCGTCCGACCCCTCTCACCGGCTCCGAATCCTGACTGGGGTGGGGGCCAGCGGCCCCTCCCCTGTCCTCTGAGGACCGAAGATGAGCTTCCTCTTGTGAGTGGGGCCGGGCCTTGGGCGCTAGGGCTGAGGGCCGAGATCGGGGAGGGGACCAGCGGCCCTGAGGCGAGGGCCGGGCCTAGGTTTAGGGTCAGGGGCCCTGGCCTTTGCGTTGCCTCAGCTTGTGTCCACGGGATAGCTAGGAGGTTGGGAGAGGCTGACAGAGATAAAGATAGAGGCAAAGGAAGCGGAGCAAGACGACTAGGTAGTAGAAAGGCGTTGAGGCCGGCAGTACCTCCAAACTTTTCCGCCCGAGCGCTTCGAGGGCGGAGGGATGATTTGGGGGCGGAGCCCTGGGCTTCCAGTTTCTATCAGGTCTCTATGATTCGTTCTGGCTTAGCATTTCAGTCCATCTCATGTCCAGTTTTATTATTGTCAGTATTAAGTGCCGTGCCAGGAGAATGTGGAGTGCCACAATTTGTGAACCGTGAAGTTAAAATAAGATATGGGCCACGAAGCCAGACAGTTCTGTCTAGGTCTGATTCAGTCCTCTTACTGGTTTCGTGAATTTGTGTACGTTAGCTAACTTGTCTGGGTTTCGGTAGAATCTAGTTGTAGAGATAAAAAAAAAAAAA